ATCTGACTGCTCCCAGAATCTCCTGTGATTGGGCTCACACAGTATTTGTCTCTCTGGGCCTGGCAGATTCCACTGAGCATCACATCCTCAAAGTCTATCCAGGTTGTAGCGTACATCAGGATTTCCTTCTTAAGGCTGCAGTGGGGTGCTGATAGACTGCATCTTACTCATTTCTCATCTATCTGCGGACAACACCTTTCAGCTGTTATGAATGAAGCTGCTGCAGGGAACAGGGCACGCTTGCCTCTCATTAGGCCCTGGCCATTGGTCCTTTTGGGTATCGACTCAGGAGTGGATTTGCTGAGTTGTACAGTAACTGTGTTTTGGGTAGATTTTTTTTTTTTTTAAAACCTTTACAGCAGTTCTAGGTTCGCAGCAGAACTGAGTGGGTGGTAATTTCACATTTCATGTTGAGGAATCTCTAAGGTTTCCTGCGGTGGCTGTGCTGTTTTCCACCCCCATTTGCAGTGTTTGGTGGCAGGTCTGTGCCCGCCTCATCAGTGCTCAGTGTTTTTCATTGTTTTGCTCATGACAGGCTGTGAGGTGGCATCTCACCGGGATTTTAATGTGTATTTCTGGTGATTCATGACATTGAGCATCTTCTAGTCCCTGGTGCAGCCTCTCTAGAAAAATGTGTCTCGGTCCTTGGCTTTTTGGTTTTTTAAAAAAATTAGGTTGTTAGGAGCTTTGTTTTTAAAAATAATTTTTAAGTTCCACAAATAATGCCACTGAAAGCCAGCATTCAACAGCTGCTAGGTGTAAGTCAGGAGATGCCAGTGTGGGTCTGGACCCAGGCTTCAGAAGAGCTAACCCATGTGTGAGGCAGGGCTAGTGTTCGGGAGAGTAGCAGGTGGTGGAGAGGCCTGTGCTTATGGGGCCAGCTTATGTCTGGCTCTGGCCTACACTGGCTCAGCACTTTCCCATTCCTGTTGTCTGTGAGATGACTGTCAGGGTGGCAGGTGGTACTTATTATTCCATGTGGCCCAGGTCCATCTTCCCGCCTCACTCCGGGGGACCCGGGACACCTCCCTGCCCTGGCCTGTACATGCTGGTGGCTCTTGCTCTCTAGGTCTCCCTCTCTAGGTCACCCTCAGTCCCACTTCTGTGTCCTCCAGCCATGACCTGCAACCATTTTCTCACAGTCACAGGCTGCTCCCAGAACCCCCGCTATGCCCACACAACTGCAATCATCCTGTGTGTGGCAGCCCTCTGTGGGGATGGCCTCACATACCAGTGTCCACTCCCAAACCTGAGGACACCTGTGCTTTGTCTTGCCTGAGCCTTTGCCATGGACTTCATCCCTTTCCTGTCCTAAAATAGGGTCTGAGGATGAGCCATCCACCCCCAGCTGGGCCGTCCTCTCCTCATGATGAAAATGGTCACCATTGGCCCTGCTGTGGAGGGGTCTGCCAGGTGCCACAGGCTTGGTGTGCATACCTGTCTCAGGCTTCATCCACGAAACATTGCTTTGATCTGAGGGACAGAGGCAAGGGAAGGAGGGAGGGACCTCTCTCCCTTTGGTCTTGATGTGGTTTCAGTGGAGATCTCAGGTCCCTTGGCCCAAGATTGTCTCTCCTTCTTATATCTGTGAAGCAGAGCATAGGTCACACTCCATCCTTGGGCACCACGTCTCTGGCCCAGATGTAGAAGGACATATGAGCCTCAGGCCCATCCCTGCCAAGGTGGAGAACAGCTGGGTCACCCCTAGGCTCTGGACTGCTGAGGCTGGGCTGGTATCCCCTGACCAGAGTTGGGCAAAGGTGTCTCTGCTTTGGATCTGGGGGTATTGGCCCTGAGTCACGTTGGGCTACCACGTGGCTTGGAGGTCAGCCTTTCTGCAGGCCCCTCCCTGCTGAATGCCAGTATGGCCTTGGCCCTGAATGACATCCCACCCAGCCCTGCCCTGCATGTGAGGCTGATCAAGCTGAAGATGGTTTTATTTCTGAACAAACATTGGTCTGGGATATGGCTATTTTCCTCTGCCCCTTCCTGGCTGACCAACAGCTCCATGCTGACTGACTTGGTCCTGCCTAGGCTGGACCAGTAATCAAGCCCTTCCCAGGTGGGCCTCACAGTGTGTCCTCAAGCCAGATGGGACTGGAGGACCCCTGTCATTTTAAATTATTCATCCCACTTCAGCCCTCCAGAGTCCCTGTCTCTGCAGGAGGCCCCCAAATAGATTCTCCCCAAGTGTTAGACCAGGGTCATCTGAGGGGGCCTGTAGCCACCAAAAGCCATCCCTGACAGCTGTTTACTTCAAGGTGTATTCTACGACCTGCTTAACAGTTCAAATCTGCTTAGGAATGTGACTAGAAAAGGTAAATGATAACACAAGTATTTAAAAATAAGACAGGCCTATCAGCTGGTGGTATGTGGGCCCTCAGAGCAGGGACTGGAGCCTGCTTTTGGGGTGCTACGGTTCCCCATCAGAGCCACCAGTGATCGGGTGAGTGATCCCATCCCAACTCCACTAGAACTCATGGGCACCTATGTCTCAGCATTGAGGACTGAGAGCCTGGGCTTCATGTTGGCCAAAGACACATGTGGTACCATGGTTCAGCATTCCTGCCAGGCCAGGTTCTCAGGAAACAAAGATGAACCAAAGTGCCTATTACTGGACAGCTTGAGATTTGCTTGCTTGTTCCTCCCTACTTTCCCTCCCTTCTTTCTTCTTTCCTTCCTCCCTCCTTCCCTTCCTCCCTTCCACAAATCCATACTGAATGTTAACTAGAGTGAATAGTGCCCTAGGCCTGAGAATGGAATGAACAAGACCAATATGGTCTCTCCCTGGTGATTTCAGCCACCACTGCCAAAGCCCTTGTCCCCGAGGAGGCCACAGATCTTGTGAGTGCTGGGACCCTCATTCTCCCTGTGTAAACACCACACACATTCTACCCCCAAAGGATTCTGTGTCACTCACCAAAACATCTTTGCAAGGGGAAGGCACTAAACTTTCCCAAATATTCTTCCATTATCCAAGCTTGCTCCAAACAAAAGCTGGATGGTATAAATGTTATTTTGTCCTAATTAATAGCATTTGGGAGCCAGTGATGGCAGTATCCAGCCACCCTCTCATTGTGGACTCCCTGGCAGGGAACTGGTTGGGGGGCAGGGCCAGGCAGTGCCACCCATTGGACCAGAAGTCCCCTTTAGGCTGGGCTCCCAAGGGAAGACGGGCAGGGAGCCAGCTGGAAGCAGGCCTGAGAAGCAAAATGCTCTGTGGCTACATGGCTTTGTGGCTTTGCATAGTCCTTTTCCACATGTTGGGGTAGGTTTAGTCTCCTAACCCCAGCCTTCCCTGAGGGCTTTTTGCATGCCAAGGCTGGCCAGGAGCTGGGTGTGGGGGTCCCAGGTGGCTGCATGCTCTGAGCATCACAGTGGGCTATGCATTTGGGCATTAAATCCTTACCATTGCCCACTAACATGGCTGCCACTGCTGTCCACAGCTAAGGAAACTGATGTCAAGGTTCCTAAATCCATGTCATCATCCTATACCTACTACCCCTCTAGAAGCTGTTGCTTTCTGGGCTTGGGGTTGAGGGGCATTTGGTACAGCAGGGCCAGCCACATGGGGTCCTTGTGAAGGTGAGGTGGCCAGGGGGTCCATTTGCCCAGCTCCTGAGGCCTGAGGACCAGCCTCAAGCTGCTCTGGATGGAGCAGGTGGGAAGGGCTTCTCACTTAAGGGGCCCTAGGTTCCTGTGATGGCCAAGACTGAACCCAGACTGCCTGGATGGTGTGGCCAGCCCAGGCCCTGCTGCCACTGGCTACCCTATAGTAGGCCAGCCACTGCTTTCCCCTTCAGATGGGCTCATGTGATGGATCCCTGGGGCCCACCCTGAAGTGAAGCATTGGCTACCTGTCTTCAGGGTGTTGGGCCTCCAGGGTGCCAGTCAGGGCTGAGGGCCTGACCAGTACCCTGACTTCCCTCTGTTGTCTCCAGGTCTTGGGTGACGACTCCTCCAGCCTTTTTCACCATAGCACTGGCTATTGGCTGGACAGGCCTCAAGATGGCTGTTAATTGAGGCAGGCAGCAGAACCGCTAAGCTAAATACCTGGCCCAAGATGGCCACTAATTGAATTCCACCTCACAGCTGGGGACTGAGTCTGGCTCCAGGAACCCTCTGCCTAGCTGCTGATTTCATAGAGAAAGCTAATGGCTCTGCTTTCCTTTGGAACTTGGTTTTTATACCTTTGTCCATCATCCACCCACCCACTCATCCACTTCTGTCCATCTTTTTTTTTTTTTTTTTTGGTACCAGGGATCAAACTCAGGTCCTTGTGCTTGCAAGGCAGGCATGGTACCACTAAGCTAAATCCCCGGCCCTGTGTCCATTTTTCTGTCCATCCATTGTAACCCACATGTTAGCCTGCGGCCATCTAGTTTGCCCAACCCCCTCATTCTTTAGAGTGCCCTGACTTCAGAGCACTCAGGGAACAATCTGGGCTGGAGGCCTGGTCTGTATGGAAGGACCCCAGGGGAGTTCTTTCAAGGCTGATGTCACATCTGTCTCTGGCCCCCTTGCCTCTACTGCCCAGCTACCCCTCCAGGAGCTCTTGTACCCAGGACTCAGGGAAAGCCCAAGGTGATAGATGCTGTGTCCCCCATGGTTGGCAATGCAGGTAAAAGGGGACAGTCCCATAAAGACAGATGCTCTCTGACCCCCACCTTGGAACATGTGCTGTAGGGCCTCAGGGGTTTAAGATGGTTCTGGATGGAGAACACAGGCCAGAAGACATCGTGTAGGTAGGGAGGGCACTGGCACAGAGCCCTGCTTGAGTGCCCTCAAGCCCTACTGTGGGATTCCCTGCCCAGTTGGGCTCTGTCTGAAGAGCAGCAGCCCCACTGGGTGTCCATGCTTGGGGACCCTGGGCCCAAGATAGCCTTACATGCTGGCATCTACAGAGGGAGACCCAGTGTGCTACCCTGGGGGGTCCCTCTCCACCTGTGGCCACCTGATGAGTCACAGCCTGGGGAGAACTCACCTGCTTTCTTCCACAGGAGATTGTCCTGGTGGTGTTCTTTGGGACAGAGTACGTGGTCCGTCTCTGGTCTGCAGGCTGCCGCAGCAAATATGTGGGCATCTGGGGCCGGCTGCGTTTTGCCCGGAAGCCCATTTCCATCATTGGTGAGTCCCACCTACTCCACGGAATACTTCACCAGTTTCTAGACCATGAAGGACCCCCACATCATGACTGCCACCAGAGAGTGTCCCCCAGTGACCAAGAGCCTACTCCCACTCTGCCTATCCACAACAGGGCCTGACCTTATGGCCAGCAAGGGGTGAACACCCAGTTCTTGCAGCCTGGGCCACCTGCACACTAAGATACTGCTAATAGGGTTTGGCCCTTCTCAGATTCTGAGGACCTTCCTTACTCAGCACAGCTTGACAATGGGTCAGTCACCCTTGGTGGCTGGGGTTCAGGCCTGAGATGCAGGGCCCAGCTCTGGCTGAGGTGAGGCAGCTACACATGTGCCACACTGGAGGCCTGGGCCTCTCCATTAGGTGTTGCCCAAGTCCCCACCTAGCCTGTTCCCAGGTCCCCTCTCGTGGGACCCTGTCTCTCTAGCACAGCAAGCCTCTACCCCAGGGGTGGGTAGAGGGTGTGTTGTCCCTATGGCCCAGCTGCTGAGGTCATAACTCACTGTCCCTCCCCTGCAGACCTCATCGTGGTTGTGGCCTCCATGGTTGTCCTCTGTGTGGGCTCAAAAGGGCAGGTGTTTGCCACATCAGCTATCAGGTACGTCGGAGTGCCAAGCTCCCTGCTGGCTGACCCTCTGTAGGGCTGGAAGGGCTGGCCTGTCACCAAGCCCCCTCATCCCAAGCAGTAGGTGGTCTCCCTCTCCATCCACCTATTCTGGTGTGCTCACCCCTGCCCCACTCCATCATAGGCAGTGAGCTAGGGCAGCTGTGATCATGGCCTCGATATATTAGGTGGCCCTGGGTTTGAGATCCACCACAGCACTTCCTAGCTTCTGAGACATGGGTGGCAACCTATTTGGACACATGGTCTTCTTATCAGTAAACTGGGGCAACCTTGGGCTCCCTCAGAAGGCAGTGTGGGGACCAAAGGCATGTAGAGGTGTGCAGCTGCCCCCAACCTGACCCTGTGGCCACCATGTATGATCAGAGCCAGCTGTGAAGGGCTGCCCTTGGTGGGAGGACTCAGAGCACCTGACCAAGGGAGAGTCAGGAGGGCAGGCATGGAGGCAAGTCTTTCCAGTCATGGTGGACATGTATGTGTCTCCCCTACCCAGAGTGGAAGCCTGGTGGGGGCAGGGACACCATCCCATTTGCTGTTTCCTTGGTCACAGCGGCAAATGCCTGCAACTGGCCTGGTCCTTACATCCTTGTACTGTCTCCTTCCCAGGGGGATCCGTTTCCTACAGATCCTGCGGATGCTACACGTAGACCGCCAGGGAGGCACTTGGAGGCTCCTGGGCTCTGTGGTCTTCATCCACCGCCAGGTGTGTGTTCCAAGTAGGTGGCCCAGGGGAGCACGGTAGGGCATGTAGCCACCCCTACCTGAATGTGAGGTACAGGTCTTTGTACCCTGTACCCTAGCTGAGTGGCCAAGGGTCAGGCAGGTACCAGGGCACATGAGTGTGTGGATGGTGCCCAGAATCCCAGATTGACTCCCTGGTTGGGCACTCCACCTCACACCTGGTGTCAGCCCCTTCACCTGCCAGACCAATGGCGCCTTCCTTCAACTGGGACAAAGGTCAACTGGGTAAATTAAAAGACAAAAATGGAAGATGAAATAAAAGTCTCTGAGGCTCAGAAATCTAAAGCCAGACAGATTAAGGAAAACCCAGAATATCTTAAATGCTGACCCCCACAGGCTCAGCTGCCCCTGCCCAGGTCAGAATATACAAGGTCCTTTCATTGCCCTGAAGTTCTGCTGGGTATCAGCCAATTCTTGGCTCTGTCCCATTGCAGAAGACAGAGCCATTGGTCAGAGGCTTTCCAGGGTCACTCTTGGATAATAGCCAGAGGCAACCTCACTCTGGGTGGTGAGACCATCATACCTAGCATTTAGCAAAGTTGTGAAAAATAGCTTTTTGGGGACCCTGACCTGTATACAAAACATGCCCAAGTAGCTGTAGAATGATCTGGTAAATACTAGAATTCAGTGCCAAGGCTGTCCCCTCGCTGCCTCTGATGTTGGCCCAGATAGGGTTTCCTCCCTATCTGTGGGGTGCTGTGAGCTGATTTGGTTTTGTCTTCTGGCTAGGAGCTGATCACCACTTTGTATATTGGCTTCCTGGGCCTCATCTTCTCCTCCTACTTTGTGTATCTGGCTGAGAAGGATGCAGTGAATGAATCAGGCCTTGTGGAGTTTGGAAGCTATGCAGATGCACTGTGGTGGGGAGTGGTAAGTTGGAGCCTCTGGAGTCAGGGGTCCTGGGCTGGGGCCATGTGAGCCTGGGGAGAGGCAGAGCAGGTATTGGGCTCTGGTTTCTCAAGATTTGATGCCTCCTGGGCAGGGACTTCTCACCCAAAGGTTCAGAATCCTTTGTCCACAGATTAGTACTTGAAGCCAAATGCACTCTGTGCTCCATTCATGCTGAGGGCTCTGGGGTCCCTGTGGAAATTTTAGCTCTTTTGAACTTGTTTTGGAAGGGAAGTCTGGGGGACAGGGAAGGTGAACAGGGCTTGTCTTAGCCACCCTGTTGCCCTTTACCTCAGCAGATCCTGGATACAGGTGTGGGATAGTTGGGGTCAAGCATGTTCCTTGGTGCCTCTGGGGGTCTGTGCTGGCCCCATGAGTGTTCCTGTGCCTGAGGAGTGAGATGTGAAGACAGGTGGAGAAACCTGGGGAGATGCAGAGATCCATGCTTCCCAGACACGGCCCCCAGGTTCTCTTGCTGCCCTGGGATGTGGCACTATGCAGTTATGCGGACGAGCTCTGAGGACAGCTGGGAGACTGGGCTCGAGTAGCTCGAGGCCCCAAGGTGCCAGGCTGTGGGAAGGCAGGATGTAGCCGGTTACCTGCATGTGAACTCCACATGTCCCATAGCAAGGCCATGATGCATAGAGGCTGTGGGTGGGTTCCTGCTGCAGGCTGGAGCTGAGGACTCTCTGGGGTCAATGTATAGTGGAGGAAGGGGTCCCACTGAGGACCTGCCTGCTGAGCCTGAGCTCTAGAGTCCGGGGTCACAGGTGGGTGCTCTAGGCACAGGCTCTTATGGCATCAGAAAGTACTAGCCAAGGTGTTTTTAGGAAGGTCCAAGCTGCCAGTGTCCCTCCAGAAACTGGTGGCAGTTCCAGAGTCTCAAGTCTCTTATGGAGAACTGGCTTTCACCTGGGCACTAAGCTTTAGGTTAGCTTCTGCAAGAACAGGGTGCTCAATAGATAGGGAGGTTCGGATTCCATCCATCTCCATCCCATTTCCTCTCAGTTGCAGGGGCAGTGGGCTGTCTAGAGGCCAAGGCCCAGGGAGGTGCCATCACCCCTGCAGAGTGCCAGGACTAGGAGGCCATGGGTGGGAGGTGAGGGGCCTAGAATAGACCCCAACTGGCCTCCTGTCTTTTCTCAGGCAGAAGCACGTGGTATCTGCTGTCTTCCAGGCTCCTGCATCCTTCAAAGAAGGGCAGTGGCAGCCATGGGCATGGGCTGGAGTTGGGGAGAGGAGAGGCTACAGCTTGGGGGAGGTGGGTACCCTGGCCCTGTGGGGAAGTGCAGGCTCCAGGGGTACAGAGTAGGGTGGGCAGTGGTAGAGGTGACACTGCATCAGGCCTGGCCTGTGTGCCCTTCAGTGCTCAGTCCAGTAAGGAAGGCCTTGCTCAGAGCCCTTGCCTTCCTCCAACAGAGAGGTCATGGAACTCGAAGGGTACAGAGTAGGACAGACACATGGCCTGCTACTCCTGTGTCCCCCACAGAGCTAAGCATGCAGCAGGTACTTCTCATGCTGGCTAAGTCAGTGTGTTTTCTAGACGATTCCACTGTGCCAGGCTGCTCAGGGAAAGTACAGACATGCTGACACAGCTCCCATGTTGGGCAGCCCCAGGCTCGGCCTCTCCCTGCCCTCCTGGGGGCCTGTGTCCCCAAAGGCCCTTGTGGAGCAGGCCTATGCAGGTCTGGGCGGGAGAGCTCAGCCCCTGGCAGGCAGGAAGCTTGCCTACAGTAAAGGGGGAGACACCTCCTGGGAAATTGATAGGGCCTTCATGGGGGACAAGAGAACTGGGGGGCAGGCAGTCCAGGGCCGAGGGGCAGCAGGAAGCATGTAGGTGACAGCCTGCAGCACAGCTGATAAGCAGTGCCCAGCCCTGGTGCTGCCCTGCCTGCCTTCCCGGCTGCCTGCTGGGGCTGCTCCTCGGCCTCGGCCTGCGGCAGAGCGGCGCTCTACTCCCACACCTGTGCAAACATCCGCCCGCCGTCTGGGAACACGGCCCCTTTGTGCCCGGCTTGGCACCGGTGCCCCGGCCGCGCTGTCAGCTGCAGCCTGCGCCTCGGCCACTGTGCACCCTGGTCTGGCCATTGTTCCCATTGGGCCCTGCGCCCTTGCCTGCCCAGGGCCCCCTGCCACTTGGCCTTGGGGGCAAACAGCTCCCATTCATCACTACGGCTGCCCCTGCAGCTGTCTGGTGGGAGCCCCCTCAAAGCTTGAGTTATGGGCTGTGTTCCTGGCACTTCTCGGACAAACAGAACTCGAGAAATGCAGGCCGGGGCAGCCCGACAGGGGCCTGTTCAGCCTATGTGCCAACCCACAGCTGAGCCCTGGACAGTTGGCTCCTCTCAGTCTCTATTGTCTTGGCTTCCTTCACCCTCCCCATGGCCCCGCCCAGCCTTGCCCCTCAGGTTCCCTATCTGGACGAACAGAGGGTGGACTGAGCTGGGGGAATCTTGATGTTGGGAGTTGCCATAGGGCACTCTGCTGGTAGGGCACTTTCTGGAGACCTGGCCATTCTGTCTTCATTATAACTGTGCCAGGCCTTGCCTGGACTCTGGGACCTGCTCCCACAGCTGAGGAGTGGTTGTCTGGTTGGGGGGTGAGCACATGCCTAAGACAGACACAGGGCTGCAGAGGCCACTGGGAGCCACTGGGTTTGTTGGGCGAATGAATGAATCAGTTGATTTGCCTACAGAAAATCCTGTCTTGCGGCCCTGGGAATGGTGCGTGGATGTTTTTTTTTTCCTGTGGCTGCCACACAAAGCCACATAATATTGTGTTTTCAACAATAGACATTTATGACAGTTCCAGGGGCCAGAATCGAGAAATGGAGATGCAGGCAGGGCCACAGTCCCCTCAGGGCTCCCAGAGGGTCTTTTCTATCTTTTCAAAGTTCCGGTGCCCCAGGAGGCCCTTGGCCCATCCTGTGAGGCTCTTGTCTGTGTTCCTTTCTGTCTCTTCTGTGGACACCATCACTGGGTTTAGTGCCTGTCCAGATTATCCGGATGACCTTGTCTCCAGATCCTCAATCACATCTTTGAAGACCTCTTTCTGAATAAGATCCTTTCTGAGGGGCAGGGTGGGTATGGTTTGGTTAGGACAATGGGCATCCCAGTGGGCTTCATGGGATGCACACTCCACTCACAGGGCCTCAGTTTCACAGCTGCCCAGTGAACTGCTGGCTCCGTGGCTGACTGTCCCCTCTGGGCCTCTCCCTGGGATAGGGATGCCCACTTGGATATGAGGTCTCCTGGATCCCTGGAGCCTGGAGCCCAAGCGTGATTACAAGGCATTTCAAGATTTTTTTTTCTTTGCCCTTGGAACAAAACGCATTTGTTTGTGTTAAAGTTTGAGGGGAGGGAAAGCAGTTTTTGCAAACACGGGCTCCTCTGTTAGTGCCTGGGGGTCTCTAAAACCGGGCGGCTGCTGGGCTCTGTTTACCTCTGTGCATCTAAATTTAGAATTTAGAGTGGAAAGGCCGGAACCCCTCCCCTGTATGTCAGCCCCTTTTAAAACAGAGTCTGACAGCCCTTCGTTCCTCACCTGGAGGCTCCGGAAAGTTCCCGCCTCCCAGACTGTGCTGCATCCTGGTGGAGCAAGGCTGGGGAGCCTGGGGACTCAAGCAGAGGCCGGAGAGCCTGAGCACCATCCAGTGGGAGGGCTCAGTGTCAGGACCTCCTTGGATGTTGAAGCTAAAGCCAGGGTGGCAGCACTCAGACCCACCAGACCAGGGTTTTTCTTCTGCCCAGAGCTCCATGTGCAGCCTAGGAGTACAGTGAGAGTCCAGGGTCTGAAAGACCCTCCCAGAGGACTTTCCTGAGAAGTGATCTTTACAGCTGGGTTTTGAAGGATGAATAGGAGCCCACAAGGTATATCTATCTTCCTGTTCTTACTGCCCATTTACCATCGCCTGAGGGTTTGATTACACAGCCTCAGCCAAGCCCTGGGAGGGTGATATGCAGGACTAATTTCCTCTTGGGGGATGGGGTTCAGCTTAGGCCAGTGGGGAGTAGCCTGTGGGAATCTCAGGCCCCAGAGCTTTCCAGAGACAGTGTCAGGAAACAGTGGGACAGGAGGAGGTGGGGTGGAACTTGATGTGGAACTCCATTCACATCCCCCCTCCACCACGTGCCTGTTGTGTGGGACTAGACAGCTTGTCTAACCCCTCTGGGTCTATTTGTGAAATGAGAACATGACATGGACCAGCTTCCATGGCTTGTCAGAATTCAGTCAGTAAACACACAGAAAGCCAAGGGTCCCAGGCGCAGCCGCAGGTGGGCTTCTGGGCTGGTCCCCATCCTCCCTTGGAGGCCACCTTCTAGAGGCTGCCTAGAAAAGGGGGCATAGAACACCACCAGTGTGGCCTCTCATAGCAGAACGGGGTGCAGATCAAAGCTTCCTGTGTCCCTGATGGGCATGAAGCTGCAGAGCAGCAGGCAGTGGTAGGGTGGAGGACACACCCCTGCCCACCAGCTCCAGGACCATGGCTTGTTCCCATGGCCACTCGCCCTTCGGGTCCTGTCACCATGTGGCATATCTGTGGGCCTGAGTGTGAGCAGCCTGTGTGCCTTGCCTGCCTTGGTCCATCCGCCTGGGAGACATGCAGATCTGCCTTCCCCATGGCCAGCTGTGGGGATAAGTTCCAGGCACCAGGGCTATAAAACAGCCCATTCCTGAGCTGCTTGCGTCTGTGAGTCCAGGAACAGCAAACAGCTCTGCCGGATGGGCCGTTTCCTGGGGAGGTGGAGGACCCCATTCACAAGACAAAGAGGGGTGAGGGGCCTGAGAAGAGGAGTGGGTGCTGGGCAGTTACTCAGTTGCCTACCCCTGCCTGGGCTCCTGGCTTCTGTGATGGCCTGCTTAGCCCAGGAGCTGAGAAGCATGGGAGAGGGGGTCTCAGACCTCTACACCTGCCTGGTACACATGACCACATCCTGCACACCTGCTCCCTTCCGTCAGGGCTCTTCCCACAACCTGACCCCTCCTTTCTCCTTCATCAGAGATTTTATTTTAGCATTAATTTAGACTTTAAAAATGAAAAATATTTTACAACTTCACCAAAAAATTAAAACCTTTTAAATACTTAAAGGTTATTCACGTTATAAGAAAGTTTACCAATATACCGACCCTGAGTTCGTGTTTCAGTGTTTGAGTTTGCTGGTATCCCTTACACCCAGTGCTCTCGATGCTAGCACCCACCTGCAGATGCTGATGCCTGCCTTGCACCCGTGGCAAGATGGCTACTGGCTGACATTTCACTCTCTGAAGCTTTTCATGCCTTTTTGTGGACCCCTTCATGCCTTTTTCCAGGGGGAGGTAGTACTGATTGAACTCAGGACTATTGCACTAAGCTATATCCCTGGACCTTTTGGTATTTTTTATTTTGAGATAGGTTCTTGCTAAGTTGCTAAATTGCCAGGCTGGGATTGAACTTTTAATTTTCCTGTCTCAGCTTCCCAGGGTGCTGGGGTTACCTGCATGCAACACCATGGCTGCCTTCTCTTCATACTCTTCATACAGGATGCTGTTTCTGTGGCTTATATCTATCAACAGTTAATAAAGCCAAGAAACTTTTAAATGCTTCCATATTTATTAAAATAATAATAGAACCATTTTATGTAAAATAACTATGATAAGCTACTATATTTTCTAAAACAAAAGACAATACTGAAAGAACAACATGCATTTATGAGCAGATCTTCATGAATCTGGCTGGAGACATTGGGTCTTCCCACCAGCACTTCTGTCGCCACAGCTGCAGCCCACACCTTGTGCTGGGACAGAGTGAGCCAGTCTGAGGCTAGGCCTGACACCCAGTCAAGGCACCTAGAGGCCCCCAGGCCCACTTTAAGAAGCTGGTGCTGCCATCCCCTTTGCAGCCCCAGGCAGACTGTCCATCCACACTTGCCTGCTGACTGCAGGGATTTGATCCATCAGGGAACAGCCCTTCTACTTCTTCCTACCTCCTTTGGGGTGCTCACCACCACCACTCCACCACAAACAAACCCTCTCTCTCAGCCTTCTCTTCCACGACCTGATACAGGAGGGGCTGCCCAGCTGAGTGGAGCTTTGTTCTGCCCTGGATGGCATCTCTGGCTTTGAGCACATACGTTATGAGGCCATCAGAGCAGGAAGTGCTGTGGTGAGTGCACCACGAGGAATGCAGGGGCCAAGCATAGACTCAGGCAGGCAGCAAAAGCTACCCAGGTCCCTATCAGGGTTTTGAGGGATGAATAGGAGGTTGCTGGATGAACACATAGAAACTGCATGTTCACACAAATGGGGTAAGTGACTGTCCTTCTGAGATGTCTGAGTTAGAGATGCTGGAGTCTGCTCTCCTTAACTGTCTGGCTGCAGGGGTCATTTAGGCTCAAGGCTGGGTGAGCCAGAGTCCCTGTTGGCTCGGGCCTTTCCAGGCTGGTTTCTGGGCCTCCTTTTTTGTGTTTTCCATGACTTGCCAATGGCCTAGGAAATATCTATGAGTGGGTGAGCAAATGCGCTGGGGCCCTGCCCTCCCAAGCCCTCTGGGCCATGGCATTACCAGGTGGGCCGGCTCCCAGGGCAGGCAGTGCTATGTCTCACTGCCCTGCCCAGCTCTGCTGCAGCTGGTGTCCCATGCATGGCCCTGTATGAGCCTGGGCCCTAGTGAAGGCAGCTGCAGCCCAGCCCTCACATGTGGGGTGTAGGCTCCTTACTGCCCCCACCACCAGCCCTGGCCCCAGTTGGCCTAGCTCTGGCCTGCAAGTATGTGTGTTCAGAGATGGAGGCAGTCCACATGGTAGTACAAGGTATATGGGCCCAAGTGTGCCCTGAGCATGGCAGGTCACACATGAACACAGCCCTTCTGCATATGACCTTGCCCTGTGTACATGTGCTTCTGTGTTGCCAGAAAACATCAGGTCCTTGTGTGTTTCAGCATGTGTGTGTGGGTGTCCCTGGGAGTGTACAGCACTTGTGAGTGTGTCCCTATGCACACGAAGCCGGGTGGTCCATTTAAAGGGCTGGCACTAAGCAGTTCCTGTGTGCTCTGCTGATGTGCAGGATGCATGTGTATTTTAAGGATGGTGACACTGCAGGGCTGACACTACAGGGAAAGCACTGCATGGGCAGCTGCAGAAATACCTGGCGTGGCACCAGTGGAGTAGAGCTCAGGGTGGCAGGAGCTCAGCAGGGGTCAGTCCTGTCACGTTGCCTGACTGAAACTGAAATCTTCAGGTGCCTGTGACTATAACTAAGTTCCCTGTGAACATCATCACTTCTGCCACCTAGGCTCTTCTGGTCCTCCTGCTCCGACAGCTTTGAACAGCAATGTGAGCCATAGACACCTGTCTCTGTTCATGCATCCATGTGTACGCTTCTGCCTGGCTCTAGCCCTGCTGCCCTTGCTCAGTGGCAGGTGGACACACCAGGGCAACCCAAGGCCAGGGTCTCCCTGGGGACTGGTGTGGTCAGCAATCACTGCTATAGAGTCTCATACTCCCTCTCTGGGCCACAATTGGGACCTATTAAGTGGGCTCCTGCCATGCACCCTGGCTTAGTAGGGCAGAGCTCAAATGGAGACCTCTGCACTATTCTCAGCCAGAAAGGCCTTCCTGGGACTGGTGGCATAGTTGTCACTGAGCCCTAGATGATATAAGCTGGGCTACCCCAAGTAGGCTATGCAGAGCAAGACTACAGACCACAGGCAGCAGGTTCCAGCTGCAGTGCTAAGGGCATCATGCAGACTGTCTTGCTGCCAGGGCGAGAGTGTGTCCATGGCACGAGTTGGCCTTAGAACCAGGTATTGGAACCAGGCTCAGGACTAGTCCTCAAGGTCCAGCCAGAGCCACAGGCAGACTCTGGGTGCAGCCTGGCAGCTGGGCTCGGCCAGGGTGGGCTCCTGTGTCCCCACGGGACTGCGTGTTCTGCCTCACCAGAGGCCCAGGAGCAAACCTCAGATGCCAGTGGGGGGCAACCTAGGAGGGGGAGCAGCCCCTCACTCCTATTGTCCTGCCACACACCCTGGACAGACAGCTCCCCCACCAAGAAGATGACAAGAGCCTTGTCTTGTTCTCTCAGAAGAGAGAAAAAATGAAACATCTGGAGCCCTGGGGTGGTGGCAGGAAGTGGCATGTCATCCTGCCCCGGCTCTTTGTGGCCGGCCAGCCTCAGTGGGAGCTCCCAGGCTCCTGGGGGTCATGTGTAGCGACGCTGGTGGCCGGGGGCCAGGCTTCTGGGGGACAGGGCAAGCAGTGGGGAGGGTAGGCCTGTCCTCCTGTGGGTGGGCTCTATAGCCTACTTGCCCTGTCCCAACACAGCAAGCTCTTTCTGCATGACCCTGGTGGGCTGTGCTGAGTGTGAGGGTCAGGGTCTGGGGACTTGAGCCCTGCTGTGTGCTCTCCTGGTGGTTCCACTGAGCTGCACAGTAGCCGCAGGAGAGTGGCTGTCCTGGTCTCCACAGGGTGGGGGTAGGGGCCAGGAAGGTGCCATCTTGCAGTTCTAGGCTGGCCAACTGCTCATTGCTGTCCCTCCTCCTCACAGGTCACAGTCACCACTATCGGCTACGGCGACAAGGTACCCCAGACCTGGGTTGGGAAGACCATTGCCTCCTGCTTCTCTGTCTTTGCCATCTCCTTCTTTGCACTCCCAGCGGTAGGTGCCCATGGGGGCCATCTCCCTGCTTCCCAGCAGACTGGGGCTCTGGGCAGCAGGTCCTTTCCTGTGAGGAGACTCTCAGAGGTGGCTCACTGAGAGCCAAGATGGACATGACTTCAAAAAAGCACTGTCCTCCAAGCCCACCTGCCATTGGGCCTGGGACACAGCCCTCTCCTGCTCCCAATCCCCAGGGTCATTTGTAGCAGAGTGGGAGCAGCCTGGCCTGACTCTGGTGGGGGAAGGCAATGGGGGTGCCCAGTGTGGCCACCATATTACCACAGAGTGGAACTGTTTGCCTGGTGGGGGAGCGGGTGCCTTGCACCATAGCCACAAGTGTCTGTTTCCTACCCCTTCCAGAAGTCACAAACTGAGGATAGGAGCATGTAGTCCACTGTGTGAGTGCAGGTGTGCAAGGATGTGTGCTATATGTGTGTATGTGTGCAAGTGGTAATATGGTCTACACATGTGTACACACTGTTTTATATGTATGCTGTATACATGTTTTGTGTGTGCACACAATATGTGTCTATGCAGGTGTCTGTGCATTGTATTTGTGTGGCATGTGTATATGTTGTGTGTACATGTGTGAGTGTCCTGTGTGTGTATAGGTCATGCATGTTATTTATATGTACATCCATGTACAACACACATGTATACAGGGAGTGTCTAGATATGTGTGTGTCTATGCACGTTCATGTGTAGACACGTTACATGTGTTGAATGTATCTTATGTCCATGTATCTCACATGGCACAGGTTTGGTACTAGTATGTATGTGTCACACGTGTGTGGAGGGCTCGGTTCCTTCCCTGGATAGGGAGTACCCTGGCTGCTGCAGCAGTCGTCTGCATGGTAACAGCAACAGCCCACCTCAGCTGGGGCTGCCTCTGACTCCCAGCCTGATCTCAGCATGTAGTTCCTGCCCGGGTACATGCAGATGGCCTCACCCACCTCGCTCCCCAAAATGGTCCCTGGGATGGCTCAGGGCCCTTGCTGGCAGGCCCAGATATGTGCTTTGTCCTCCAAACTGAGGCAGGCTGACCAGTGCCTCCCACCTCGGGCAGGTCTGGCTTCTTAGAACTAAAGTCTGAGCCTGCCACGTCCCCCACATATTTGTCCTGTCACTGAGCCCTGGCCAGTGGCGGCCTGCTTGGTGGTGAGCCTCATTTCTGTCCCTCCCAGGGGATCCTTGGCTCTGGGTTTGCCCTGAAAGTCCAGCAGAAGCAGAGGCAGAAGCACTTCAACCGCCAGATCCCAGCTGCGGCGTCGCTCATCCAGGTGTGTCCCACATGCTCAGCCTTGGCCACCTCCCATCGTCATCATCACTGTCACATCCAGCCCTTGTGTCCTTGCACTGACCCAACCTGTGGGATGCAAGGTCTTTGTACTGTGTGCCCTTCCCATGGCACAGGCACCTCACTTGGGGAAGTATCTGCTTTAGGGTTCCGGATGACATCGGAGCACAGGGGCTGTCCCCTTCCATGGCAACTCCTGTCAGAACCATCTGTGGGCTGGGACAAGATGTGACTGTGGCCACTCCACGATCTGGTGTGGTCAGCCTATGGGCCCTGTCACCTTCCAGCAGCACTGGGCTCCAGCTCCTTGACCCTGTTGTCCCTCCTTCCATGACCCACCCCCTAGCTGAGCACAGGGTGGAGTTTTGGAGGGAGACGGCAAGGGGGCCCCAGGTGACTGTCACCAGGGGCAGGGCCTAGCTTAGGCAGTGGCTGTTGTTTCCCAGTGAGAGGCACCACAAGCCACCCATGAGTCACAGGCTCAGAGTCAGGTTAAGCAGAACCTAAGGTTGCCAGGGGAAGAGAGGTCCTAGAGGTGGCTGGAGACATAGTGGATGCTGCTGTCACCCAGGACCCACTGGAATGCACCAGAGAGCTGGGGTGACATTTTAATGTCAGTGAAAACTTGAGCACAGGACCCATTCAAAAACCATATCCCTGTAATCTCTTTGTCGGCAGGGGCAAGGAGGGGCTGGGTGAGGGGCTGGGCCTGGAGGCACAGACGTTGTCAGGCTGAGTAGGCCAGTGTCTGGTCACAGACATGACTGTCCTCCCAGTGCGGTGGCTGCGGTGCACAGAGTAGGCCCCCTGGACACCTGGGCTGAGTGCCTCTCAGCAAAGGTCTGGGGCCTAGTCAGGCTGAGGCTGGTGGGGGTCCTCTTGCAGGGCTCTCTGCCCCAGGCAGGGCCCCAGTGAGGGGTGGGTGCCTGTCAGGGGCCATGGCTTTGTGGTTGAAGCACAGCCTGAGTCTCCACCCTGTTTCTCTGAAGCCCTTCCAGAACCAACGGTCTGGGGCCTGGACCTGAGGGCTGAGCAGGAAGGAAATAGCAGCCGCCATAAAGCCGAGGGGCCATGGCTGTGTGCTCCCTCTCAGGCCTGGCTTTATGGCCCCATAGTGTCTCCTTTTGGAGAGACCATAAATCAGGCCTATAAAACCTTCACTGTGGCAGAGTGTCTGTAGCAGGGGGCAGGTTTGATTCTTCTTCCATGGGAGTCACACATCCTGCAAGGGGCTCCCTCAGAAGCCATGGTCATGGTGGGAGGACTTGCTGGGTCCTGAGATGGCAGCAACAGGCAGCAGGGGTGCTGTGGGGTCACACAGGAAGGGGCATCTGGAGAGGAGTGCAGGCTGCTTGGCATGGTGGGATGCAGAGGCAGCTCAGCATGCACATAGGACATGTAGACCTCAGGGACCTCCCAACTGCCCAGATCACCCCGGTGAGAGTGAGGACGGCGGCCATGTCTGTGCCAGGCATCCATCTCAAGGGTGCCATGGCACCCAGGAGTCCTACCAGTGTGTAGGCACCTCCCCCAGGTGGCTCTCTTCCTCTGGATCACAGGACTGGCAGTGATAGGGCCACCACAATATCCTCAGAAGAAACTCTGGGCCCTGCCCACCTGGGTGCTGCACAGCTTCCCTTGTTTCCCTGCCGGTGTGTCTTCTCCAGGTCATACCCTGTGGTGGCCACTGTGGGGGTCCTTTTAGACCAGTGATGGCAAGCCTTTTAGAGACCGAGTGCCCAAACTGCAACCCAAAACCCATACTTACTACAAAGTGCCAACATTGCAATTAAACCTGAATACTGAGGTCTGTCTTTAGAAAAAAAAAAAACCTCATACAACTCATGATGTCATCGCAGAGAGGGCTCTGTGTGCCCACTGCGGCATGCCTGTCATAGGTTCTCCACCACTGCTCTAGACCAAAAACTAAAAGCTTCACCCATGGAAGCAGAGACTCCCTATAGCTGCACAATGGCACTGTAGTACCCCAGAAGGACTCTGCTTTCTGACCTCTCAGTCTCACCCCTCCAGCTCCAGGGCCCCTGACTCTCCACCCAGTACCCACACAGGTCCCAGGTGACCCCTCCTCAGCTACCCTTGTGCATTCAGTGGGTCCTGTTGTCCAGGTCTTTCCCTGTCCCCTGCCCTCACCATGCATGCCTAATTTGTGTACCTTTGTGTGTCCAGAATTTGGTTCAGGGCTGGTCTATAGAAGGAGCTCAGGTAAGAGGAGGGGGAGCAGGTGGATCAGGGCACCAAGGGAAAAGCCTTTGTGGCACCTGAGCTGTGAGTGGTAGACATCTGTGTGGGGGCCAGTGCACTGCCAGGCTGGGAGGCACAAGCCCAATTGTCAAGACAGAGGGCCTGGAGGTGGCAGTGGGGCTCCTGCCAGGCCCTGGGGTTGGGATGGGGCTGCAGCTTCCTCAAGAGACCCTGGCTAGTTCTGTGGGTGACAGTCCCCCTCCTCCTTCCCTATTTCAGACTGCATGGAGGTGCTACGCTGCCGAGAACCCCGACTCTTCCACTTGGAAGATCTACGTGCGGAAGCCCACCCGGAGTCACATGCTGCTCTCCCCTAGCCCCAAGCCAAAGAAGTCTGCCATGGTAATGGTAACCAGCCCCACCTGCCACCAGAGTGAGCTGCCTTTTAGCAAGTGGCAGCCTTGGGGCCACAACTTATGGCCAGGGTGTCATAATACATTTGACTGCAGTCTTTTAGCTCAGAGTAGTCTATGTCAAGGTGTCAGCATCACTCTGGGCTCTGGAGCTGTATATTCGAGGGTCCCTTCCATCTCAATGTCCCTACCCTTGGGGCCATGCAGGCCTGGCCACGCCAAGGCCAGGAGTATGGGAAGCCAGAGAAATTACCTCAGCAACAGGGAATGCTGGATTCTAGTCAGTTGCTAGAAAGCAGGCTCTTGAGAGGCCATTGGTGTTGGGTTTCCAGGTGCCAGTGGGGGACAGAGCTGGTATACTAGCTCAGAGAAGAGGGTCTCAAGGTCACAGAGTGGGAAAGTTCCCACAGGCTTTGGGCAGGGGTCTTATTGTTTGGCTGAGGTGATGAGTGAAGGCTTGAGATTACTCCCTTCCTGGCTCAGGCCCGCACCCTCCTCAGAGACCTGGCCTTCCCAGGTTCTAGCTGTTGCTGGAGCCATTATAGCTGTTGTTCCCTCTGCCAGAACATTCTCTCTGACTTCTACACAGCCTGCACCCTGCTTCCTCCAGCTGACCTCCCTCCTCAAAAGAGGTCCTGCCTGCCTCATGCTCTGCTGCCACAGCCGCATCATTGCCCTGGTGTGATATACTATATTACCTATTTACTGGTCTCCATCTACCTGCACTCAGTGGGCTGTGAGGCACTGGTAGCACCAGCATGGCATGGGCCCACCAGAGCCTGTCCCATCTCTGAGGCTGGTAGAAGCTCCCTGGCAGACACATACTACAGGCCAGACCAGGGCTGCTCTGGGTGCTCTGGGACCGATGGAGGGCCTGGCAGAGGATGCCCATGAACTGCCAACCTTTTGTGTGACTTTTTTTAGGTAAAGAAAAAGAAGTTCAAACTGGACAAAGATAATGGAGTGAGTCCTGGAGAGAAGATGCTCACAGTCCCCCATATCACATGTGATCCCCCAGAAGAGCGGAGGCCAGACCATTTCTCTGTTGATGGCTATGACAGTTCTGGTGAGGAACCTCACTGATGAGGCAGGGTGGGGAGGGGCAGGGCCAAATCATCTCCTGGCATTTCTCAAGGATCCCACAGTGCACAATTACTTCTTTTCTTGGGAGCCTGAGCACAAGAATGAGGTTTCTCATCTCTGCTAATGGAGCATGGACAGACAGGGAAAACTTCTAGAAACTTCCAGAAACTTTCTAGCTTCTTTCCCTGAGTCTTTCCTGAGGATAAGGCTCTCCACACATTCTACTGAGAGAAGCCTACACTCTGTAGGACCTGGTGACAAAACAGCAGCGCTCCCCAGGGTTTGCAGTTTCACCCCTGTTAAACTACCCAATGAGGCTCTTTCCTGGGTGTGAGGAGAGGATTGCTAGGAGCCCAGAGCACACACATCCAGGCCATATAGCACCAGTGTGGCATGCTGGTAGTGACTACTACACACTTTCACCAACTTCAGCCCTTGCCAGAAATGCTTCTGGCTGACCAGATACAGACACCACAGCCTATGGGGACCCTGGGGTTGTAGCATATGAATTGGGAAGGGGTGGCTGTGGTGGAAAGGATCCAGTGCTCCCTGGCAGCTCTGCCTTCTCTGGTGACTTCAGTGCCCAGCTCTGGGGGACTCTGATTCTGAATGGGTGAGTTCTCTAGCAGATGTCTTTAAATGAAATGTGATTGGTTCTGGCTTTTTCTTTCTCCTGGGGCCAGCATGGGTCTTTGAAATATCTGGACTTCTACTAGGATTGGAATGTGGTCTGCATTTTCCCAGGAGAAAACACACCAAAGCCCATTGGTACCCAGCATCTCATGCAAAGGCCCCTTTTACTACCCCATGGACCACTTCCTCTGAGGGAGGAACAGGCGGTGGGACTGTGGTCTATGCAAAAGTAGTACAGATACCTTCGGTGTCCGTGGGATCCATGTCTACCAGTTCAACCATGGTAGACCAAAAATATTAGAAAAGAAAATTATATTTGTATTGGCCAGGTACAGGCCATTTCTTGTCATTACTCCATAAATAATACAATATAACAGCTATTTACCTGCATTTACATTGTATCAGGTATTGTGGTTTAATCTATATGAAAAGATACGTATAGGTTATATGCAAACACTACAATATTTTATGTAAGGGACTTGACCATCTATAGATGTTGATATCCTTGGGTTCTGGGAACAATGTCCTGCAGATAGGGAGGGATGGCTGTATTTACTGAGACTGCTGGTCCACATCACTTGTGAGATATCCTGGGGAATACTCATAAAGCCCATTCTCAGGGCATGGTCCCTGGGACGGATAGGGTACCTGTTTTGGATGCACTTGGCTATTACAGCTCCAGGAAGAAATAATCTAGGCCTCACCTTCAGAACAAGAGAGAGCTCTCCATTTCTGGAGGGAGAAGTCGGAAGGTCAGGCCAAGGATACAAATGTTTAGGAGCCCACCTTCCCTCAACCACTTGCTGGTGTCCTGATGGACAGCCAGCATGCCAAGGTTGTGTGATGGTTCCTTTGGTTTGTTGTCTACCCATCACAGTCCTAGCCCTCCTCCTATTCTTCTAGGGCATGCCCTTCCAGGGAGATGCTCGCTTGGAGGGACTTCAGTGTGGGAAAGCTCTACTTGGCCGAATCCTATTGATGGCCAGACATCACTGTTCCAGACTCCAGACTTCCAGCTCCTGGAAACCAATCCTTGCCGCAGCATGCTATGTGGCCAGGGCTCCAGGCCCCGCAGAGAGGAGGCAGTCCATGCACTGATCCCCTCCCAGGCAGGTTGGGCTGGGGGTTCAGAACCACCAGTGTGCATCTAACAGCTGTCCCCTGCCTTGATGCTCTTCCTCTCTGCTCTTTTGTCATTTCTGTGACATTTTCTTCCCCTCTGAAACTTCATCCCAGTACCTGGGACCCACCAGAATGTTCTGGGACTGGCTAGAATGTTACAGGACCTACTGGAACATTCCATCTTATTGCCAGTGTAACCATCTAGACCATTGCAGAGGGTGACAGACTGCCCTGTTCCTGATATCTTGTGTTCACAGCCTATCAAGATAGGACTATAGACCTGGCCTGTCAAGCTCTAGCTTGTTCCAGGACAGCTGACTGTTCTCCTGTCTTTGGTCATTGTCCCCACCACCGACTCTTAGGGAAAGGGCAGGCAGTGTTCCAGAAAGGGGCTGTGGTTGTTCCCTGCTCTTTGAGGCTATCTTGGGCAAGACCAAGCCTGAATGCCTTTCCACTGGGAGCCAGCCTCCCTATGGCCTCATCACATGGCATGGGATTTGGCTTAGACCTGGACACATTGCGATGCACCACTGGGACATGCTCCCTGCCTGCCCACTGGAGTGGGCAACAAAGGGTAATTGTGCCAACAAATGCCCATTGCCCCCACAGCTCTGGCTTCTGGGGAGTAGGACCATTGTCTGGATGCAAATGGGGCCTTTCTGGGAATGCTAATAGGCAGGTTGGGCGTGACCAGAGGCAGCTGAGGATGCAGCCTGTGTGCCTGCCTTGGAGAAGCCTCACTCTGTATTTGCTGAGCACAGGGCTGCCAGAGCTGAGGCCGTGCATTCAGCCCATTTCATGTTATTAAGTCGTCAGTGATGTCTGCAGCATGTTAATGAGGTACAAGTGCAGAGGAGGGCAGGCGTCTTTTGTGGAAGGCTCCCACACCAGGGTTTTTTCTATCCTGCTAACATGATAAGTCAGCCTAGACCAGAGCCATTGGATTTTGGAGCCTGAACCATAGGCCTGGTCTCCAGAGATCAGGAGTTGCCCTGCCCTGTGGGTTACCGGACATGCCTGTGTCTTTCTCACTTGGGAGATTCTTGGAAAGGCTTGTGTGGAAAGACAGTGCTAATCCCAGGGCAAATGCCATCACTGGGAAAGTCTCAAAGTCCCTGCTCCCAGGAGGCAGGGCCCAGACAGCCATATGCACTTCCACTGCTGGACCAAACCTTACCAGGCATATGCTTTCTGGGTGCAAGAACTGGGCAAGTTGGGCAGAGGCCACCTCAGTCCTGCTGTAGGTCACCCACCTATGCAGCACATACTGCTCTCCTGCCCATGGCCTTCTGGCTCGTGTTCAAGGTGCTGCTCCTGCAGCAGTGGGAGAGGGTAGTGGACTGCAGTATGGATCCAACTTACAAATGGAGAAACAGAGGCCCAGGACCATGGGGGACCTCTCAAGACACACTAGCTGGGCTCACCCAAGATGCCCATGCAGGTGTGGGTATGTAGTGGGGACAGGTGAAGGGCAGTGTCCCTGAGCAGGGGCATCAGAAACTGGACCAACCTGCAGCAAAGGTGAGGTGTTGGACCTTGCAGAGAACCCATTCTTTCCACTATGGCAAGGAACTCTGCCACTTCTGCCCAGGGCAGGGAGTAGAGACATCAGAAGTCTAGAGCAAGAGTGCAGAGGGTACCATCCAGGCCTGGTTCCCCTGGAGTAAAGTACAATATTGCCCATAACTCACAGAGGATCTGTGGGAAAACAGGCCATATGCCCCTTTGTTTGCCAGCACCAGGGGCCTGGGTCTCTAGCTGTGCAGAGGCAGAAGTGGAGGGCGAGGCGAGGGATCTGCATGGATGAGGCACTATTGTTCATACTCAAGATGGGGTACTGGACACTCATGTCCTAGCTGTTGCTGCTCCCAGGGATCCTGCAGACTCACTGTGTGCTTAGTGGGACATCCTGCCTAGGGAACAGAGTGGGCGCATCACATGCACAGTCCCCAGTGGTTGTCGCCACTTGTGTTTGTATGCTCTGCATATGAGCCTGGCCCAATGAGGCGCAGTTGAGTATGCGCTCAACCCTCCTGCTCACTTGGTACACTCACCCAGACAAACCAAGCCTCACATTTTGGCTCCTTGTCTCCAGGTTATACATCAGCACTCTGTATTTGGTGGCTCCCACAGGATTGTTTTGTTTTGTTTTTTGAAATAAGATCTCACTATGTAGTTCAGACTGGCCTTGAACTCATAGCAGTCCTTCTGCCTCAGGCTCCTGAGTGCTGCGATTAAAGGCATGTACCATCGTGCCCAGATAATTGATTCTATCTGGACCACTCCACCAAGCCACCATCTCTAGCTGGCTGACCACCTTCTGAGCCTCACTGGGACTTTGGTGGGCTTTGAGTCATGTTGCCGTCCTGTCTCTTGGGCTAGTTTTGCCTTTTGAGACCATTCTCTGAATTAGTTATTCTTAGTGTCAATGCTGTATAAGATTAAGACATGCTTACATTGGCTCACAGATTTGCAATTTCCCTTCTCACAAATTGCACTTAATCTCGTCCTCTCTGAGGCCCAGGCTCCCTTCCCCAAGGTCTTCCGAGGCTTTATGTTCAGCTTTACCTACCTGTGTTTTGTTTTGGGTTTTCCCCTTGCTCATAGGTGATGGTTTGCTTGGAGGAAAGTTACAGGTTGCTAGGTGTATTTTCTCTGAGCATTCTGCAGATGTAATTCCAGTTTCTCCTGGCTTCTGTAGGTAGTCAGGTAATGATCATCCCTTTCTTAGTGACCTGTTGACTATGAAAACTGCCTATGGCATTGGTGTTCAATAGTTTCACTGCAGTGTGTTATGGTGGTAGAATATTTTTTTGATCCTGCCCACACTTGTTTGTGATTATGATTCCTAATCTGAGGGTTTACGTCTTCTATCATATGTGGAAGTCAGTGCCATAATATGATAAAATGTTACCTCCCACTCCCACACCCCTCAAGGGCTCCTTATCTCATCCTCCTGATCTATCCCACACCTTCCCTCCAGCCTCAGCAATTTCTATCCATGTTTCTACCTCCAAGTGTGTCTTACCTACTGCTTTATCCACCCATTGAGACTTTGATTTCAGTCACCACATATTTCCTCATTTCTGTAAAACTTTGCGTGGTGGTTCAATCTGCTTGATTTTATCACCTTAAACCTTTCTCATATTTTACAAGTTTGAATTTTTAAGTCATTTGAACGTGCTGTTGTGTAACCTCTATCTGATAGTTTCATTATCTACAGCTCTG